TTCTGTTTCAGTGATTTCTTCTTGTTTTTGTCCAGATTTTTTTGTTTATCTTTTTTCTAGATTCCAAACCTATGCACCGTCCTCCCCCCTCCCCTCCCTCATCCCTCATGAGAAAAGAGAAAAGACCATAGGCGGTCGCTCTGTACACATGCTTGCGTGTGTGTGTGTGTGCTGTGTGTGTGTGTGTGTGTTGTGTGTGGTGTGTGCGTGTGAACTTCGAAGGTTTCGTTTACCGAACACAGCACTCTACATCACGGAATCCTGTTTGCCAATGGCCTCACACATTCACCGAACTGTACCCGCAATAGCTTTTATGTTATTTCTCCAGGAACTGCCCAAGCCGATCAGGGGTAAATGCACCTGCGTGCTACTTGCGTGCACGATGTGCTTTTCACACACCTGAAACGCTGAAACCACCTTTCAAAAAAATAAAACGCTTTTTTATTCGAGGTTTTCAATCAGAAACCAGAATCGCGAAAATCCACATTTCAACATCTACATTTTCCGAGTTTCTCAGACGCAGGTTTCAGGACTCTTCCGGGAAAGAAAAACTAGGTGAACAGAGCATGCCTGCCACTGAGAAGCCTCAAGAGTCTGCTTGGGGCAATTCGGGCAAGGTTTGGCCTCTTCCCCGAACGACGTTTGCCAACCTAAAGCTCCTGATTACCGCGGTCAATGGGAACAAATCGCAAGCTGAGATCAAGCGAGCATTCTGGAAACACCGACAGAATTTGGTGCAGAGGGCCGGAGCAGAATCAGCAACCATCCCAGACCGAGAGCATCAGGATTCCAGCGGCAGTTTGCTTTTCTAGTTCAGGTTCGCAGGTTGATGGCAATGTCTATTCTTCGCAAGCTGTCTGCCAGATATACGAACCATCCTCGAAGTCTTCCAGGTTCCAAGCCGCGTCGTGTGTCTCGGTCTCTTTCACACGGAGGGTGGGAAGAAAGAAGCTGCGAACATACTTCGACTGCCAAGAGAAGCTAAAAAGCGGTGCCTTATTGCCTGTTTCCTCGTTGCCATTGTCTTTCCGGCGAATTGGGGACACCTATCAGTTCAAGGGGGACCATGGGGGCAACCATGTCTCGTGAGCGGCCGGTTGGAGTTTATCACTTTTGTCCTGCAGGATGTCCACCAACCAACGTGTCCTAAGGAGCGATTCAGGGTCTGAGGTGGGCCTCGAGGACGATCGCGCAGCCTGGGCATACCACACCGTTCAGAGTGGAAGGAGATATACGGAGGATTGCAGAAGGGAGCATCCCCCCGGGCCGCCACCCATGATGTAGTCTGGAGCCGGGCGGCGGGCGCGGAATCTGTGTGACAGGTCTGGAACCCTTGGAACTGCCTCAAAATCCAAGCGAAGAACGAATCTGCCTACATCAACCAGAAAGAGATGAAGAATTTCATCTCCCACTCCCACCAACCCAAACCCGAAGCCACGCAAGCCGGAGGGAGTATCACACCACGGTGGGCGAAGGAGAGCGCCCACACAGATTTATTCCCGTAGCCCAGACCTCGTAACATATGCACGAGATGTGTTTGCACTGCGCGGTGTAACGAAGTCGCCATCGCGTAATGATCATGTCGCCTATGTTTCTCCCGAATACCCTGAACTAGGCTGTAGTACAGAGAGAGGGTGCACCAACGTCGCCAGCATCGCCGTTTGTTGCTTTGGTCCAAGGAGGATATCGTCGCCACAGGAAACACACAAAGCAGCGCAGCTTTCTCGCACTTCAAGAGATGTGTGCTGGACAATAGCAAAGGGTCATTTGCATGTCCGTCCCTGCATCTGAGAGAAGATGGAGGAAATTTGTTACCGATGTTACCGAGTTATTTCGAATTTAGGGGACACTGGCTGGCCTGATAGGGTCTGCAAGCAAGCAACGGTTTCCTTTAATTCCGGATCCATACGGGGAGGAGAGCATCGGATTGATCAGGCCCATCTTGACTCCTGTGGCCAGATAGATTGTCCGATTGTCCAGAGCAGTCGTGCCAAGAAGCAATGTTCAGGGCAGCAACTAGCAGGGAAGAGCGCAATGTAAGCTGGACACTTTGAGCAGAACTCCCTTCAGACTGCAGACCCCTCTCCTCGTGCTCTAGTTGGCAGAGGCCTCGAGTTTCTTGGAGCATTGCCGCCTCTACTTTGTCTATCTATGAAGCTTGACACTCCGCAAGTCTGCTAGTTAGGCTGCATCCAATATGTGCCGCACCATGCAACGCAAGATGGTCGAGCCACATTACCGGCAATCGCTGATAGCGCTTCTCCAGAACGTACATGCTAGCAGGCCGACGTCGTTGCCTGTTCTTACACAGGCATGTCGACATGCTTTTTGGCCAGCTAGACGGATCGTGTTTTCAAGACATTTTGATTCAATTTTGCGAAGTGTCGCTCGACGTTGCGCTTTGACGGCAGGGCAGCGGTGAAGAGACTCCCAGATCTGCGACTGGGTCTGCGGCCACAAGCGGGTCACTGTTGGCAGAATTGCTGGCTGCCTCCAAGTCTGCGGCAGCCTCAGGGGCGCCTAACTTTGGCAAGGTGGAGATGACAAGCCCATGTCCCATGTCCATCCTGGCTGAGGTTGAAGACAAAGAGCCACAAGGGGGTGCAATGGCGCCTGGCTCGAGTTAGCAGCCCTTTTTGTGACACAGTGCTTCGTAGTGCCCCGTCGTCATCGGGCACTCTTTCGCAAATCCTTCCCGTCTACCAGTGTGCATGCAGTGCGTGCATATGTTGTGGCTCAGGTGTCTTCTGGCGGTACATTCGTCAAATACACGCCCGAAGACGAATCGATCTATGACTGGAAGCCGCGAGCGTGAATGAGCGTATGTCTGCCTGTGACAGACACCAATGAACCGATAAGCGGTTCAGCCTATTTAACATGTGACTGATGCATGATGCTCTGGCTCTGCCAGAATTTATCAGGGTAGTCCGTTGTCCAGCAGCTGTCCACGGCAACGTCCAAGTGACGTTAAAGTGGAGAGCAACTCGGACCTGCCACATAGTGCTTGAAGACTTTCAACATGCCCTTGGTTTCATTTTGTGAATTTGAACAGGTCAACAGAAGCAAACGCCAAAGCAGAACAAAGCGGATCAAAAACTGCGGCACTTGTTGCGCTGTGCATCCACGGGTACAGGACGCCGGGCAGGGCCGTTGAGGAGCGGGTGTCGCAGCAGACATTCCTTTGGCCAGGATGGCCAGGTGAGTCAGGGTGCATCGCTTACCGAGTACAGTACAGCAGCAAGCCAAGGTCTTGAGATGGACGTCTTCTTGCAGACATCGGCCCTGGACCTCGAGGCTTCAAGCAGTTCCGTCGTTCGAACCTGCAAGAAGCAGGCTCGAGACTTTCATAGCTTCTGGTACCAGGCACGTTTGCATCAAAGGTTAAGGTGTGGTGACGTCCCAAATCCATGTTGGCCAAGAGGCAACAGGCGAGCTGCGGAGTTCCAACAACATACAGTGACCATCGATTGAGTTAGCGTATGTCTGCTGTGCTTCCCGAGACAATGAAGAGGTTTTCGACCCCACGCCTCTGCTCCTCCCCTTTTCAGAACGTGGTCGCTTGCTCGATGTAGGCAGAGTTGCAGAGGGAGAGGGAGAGCCGTCCCTTCTGCGGTTTGAATTGAACTGTTTCGCCAGGCTGCACTTGGACACTTCCACGGCGAGACTGTTCCGTCCGAAGCCTCATCAGGGCGGACGTCGTAGGATCGGAACGCGTCCCGGACGCCAGTCTATTGTGCGCTCTTCATCGCGAAGCAAGCCCGTAGGTGTAGGCCTCCCAGGAAAGCCATAACATCCATGCAACACGGATTTGCAGACAGTCGGAGTGTCAGGAAGGTCCAGAAACGTTTCGTCCGGAGACTGCACGCCATGCGCACCGCCATGGTGTCGTCCTTCCTTCCGACGCCCAGCTCGGCGGAGGTCGCCGGCACCGGGGAAGTGCTGAAAGTGGGCACTGCTTTCGCCCGGGGCACATTTGGCACTGTGCACCCGGTGGAAGGCAAGGTGAACGGTGCGGATTCGGTCGTGAAGCTGCCGCGAGTCCACAGGTTGCCTTTCCACGTCCGCGACGTGCTCCTTCTGAGCGAAGTGGACGATGAGAAGCGAGTGCGTCGTGGCGAGGAAATGCTGCAAGAGGAAGCCAAGGTCCTCCAGTTTCTGCGCGATTGCAGGGGCGTCGTTCCTTGGCTCTGCAACATCCGGGCATCGATCGGTGGTGTGCAGGTAAGGGGAATGGCCTTGCAGAAGATGGACGGCACTTTGCGACAGCTTTGGACGCACAGCAACAGTGCTCAGCCGAACGTCAATCAGAATCGTTGCAACAGCATCCGGTTGGCAGGCATCCTAGGCTCCGCGGATAACATTCTCTGGGCGTTGGGCAGGATGCACGAGTGCGGGTTCTGTCACATGGACATCACGCCAGAGAACTTGCTGTGGAGTGAAGCCCACTGCCAGTTGTATCTGGCGGACTTCGGCTCAGCTGCGCGACGGCCAGGATTCACATGGCAGGCATTGCAGGATTTGCCCGAAAGAGCCAACATCCGTGGGAGCTATGCTTTGGCTTTCAGAGGGGTGTGGCGGGTGCTACGGCAGCTGTATGATCAGTTCCATTACAGCTCCCCCTTTGCTCGCTTTTATCTCCGCGACGAGGCCCCCAGCGACAAGAAAGTCGAGCTGCCGCTGGCCGACCGCCGCCTCGACTACTTCGCACTCGTGATCATTCTGCGCAACCTGCTTGGACAGAGAGGATTTGTCTCCGGTGGTCGCCATGATTCCTATCTGGAGGGCGAAGCAAGGACGATTCCGAACTCCTTCGATCCACCGAGACGCGAGGAGCCATGGTGCCGGGCAGATCCGACGTGGCCATCACTTCTGGAGGCGCGTGTCCAGCTGCGGGCCTTGACCGATGGGCTGGAGGGGCTTGCGCTGCAGCCGGAGCACGAGCTCAAGCAGAACCAGGGAGATGCCTTCTTGGACGATGCTTTGAGGAGGAGCCTCCAGGATTGGCAACCGGCGGAGAGCCGCGAGAGGCTCAGGAGGCTTCAGGAGCTCGACCTCTGGCGGGGGAGGCTGGGCCCCGGACCCAGCGGACCTCTTCTGGCGCAGAGATGCCTCCGGCACGGCCGTGGACATCATGTCCTTCGAGCTTGGGGAGCTGGGCGACCAGCCGCAGTACTTGGTGCACGAGGCGAAGAAGGAGCTCGCCGCCCGCTTGGGCTGTCTTCCTCCCCAAATCAAGCTCTGGGCTTTGCTGCGGCCCCGCTTCGAAAGTTTGAAGGAGGAGGAGGTCTTGCCAGGTATGCGCCCCGAGCAGCTGGATTCGCCCCTCCTGCGCGTGGAGGTGATGCCAGTCGAGCAACTCGAGAAGGGGATCGGCTTCGAGGTCTCCGAGCGCTTGATGAAGACCAGCTACTTCGAGATCTGGTATCTGCTGAACAGCCGCCACGCGCACGCCGACTGCATCTCTCTGCGGGACCTCATCGACCTAGGGATCGGAGGGCCCGGGCTTGCGGCGCTGGAGAACGGGGCGGATCCCGACCAGACCAGTGACCGGAGATGGAGAGACCCCAACAGGGTGGGATACTATGGAGATGACAGACGCACTACACCCTGACTTGCGAGATGCCACATGCGTGGGACAACCGCGGCGGGCGTCACCACGAATGCCAAGGTGTGGTGGGTCAGGGGTGGGGGTGGCGGGTGGGGGCTAAGCGAGCATTTTGCGCGTCGTGTACAAGCGGAGTCGGCGTTCAGCGTGCAAAAAGTCGAAAAACACGAAAAACGCAAAACAAAACACGAAAAACGCAAAAAACACGAAAAACACGAAAAAACACGAAAAACGCGAAAAACTATTACTACTTCCTGCTACTCTTGAGATTACTATTACTATTGCTATTACTAATATTATTACTATTCCTATTCCTATTACTATTACTACAACGCTCTTTTGCGTTTTTCGCGTTTTTCGGGTTTTTCGCGTTTTTCGCGTTTTCGCGTTTTTGTTCGCGTTTTTTGCGTGTTCGCGGTTTTCGCGTTTTTCGTGTTTTTCGCCTTTTTCGCGTTTTTCGTCTTTTCGCGTTTTTCGCGTTTGCGCGTTTCGTTGGCGGTTTTGGCACAAACTACTATTACTGTTACTGTTACTGTTACTAGTACTATTGCTGTTCCTATTACAACTACAACTGTGTTTACGATTACGCTTAATTACTCTTATCTTACTCTTAGTCTTAGTCTTTCGTTGGCTTTTTTGGCACAAACTACTATTACTGTTACTGTTACTGGTACTATTGCTGTTCCTATTACAACTACAACTATGTTTACGATTACGCTTAATTACTCTTATCTTACTCTTAGTCTTAGTCTTACTCTTACTTTTACTCTTACTCTTACTC